GAAATATATATATATATATATATATATATATATATATATGTAAATATTTCGTTGACAAATACTTGCCTGTGAAAGTGGTCTTACTTCAAGAAGCATGGAGGTAGCTTGATTTAACGTAGGCGAGTATTTGGCTACAGCAAAATGAGCTGCAGGCGGTGGCTGACTTTGCAAAGTTGAACCGAATTGCTCCGAAGATTTTCTGTCCAACCTATTATGTAGATTTTCGTTTGAATCCATCAATTTTGCACCCAAAGCTCCGCTTGCAGCTACAGCACGAAATGAAGTCTCCAAATCGGTTTTGAATTGCGCCGATGAGGGAAGAAAACGCATCAGAGTGGATAAGTACTGCGGATCTAACCAAGCATGAGTATTTTGGAAGTTAATCCCTGCTGAGGATTTCGATAGAGGGTGAAGTGTTGGGAATAAACTCTGGAAAGAGCTTGATTTTGATAGATTGCAGTGGTCATCTAATAACTTCGAAGGTCTTGTAGGGGGGTGAATGGATGAATTCGATGGATTGGTATAGAGTTTAGTTTGGTAAGTGGCATAACTACTAGCAGTTTCTGGTAGACGTAGGTTAGGTGGTAGTGTTCCATTTTTAGCAGTAAAAACGGACGGACTTCTATCCCGTTTCAGATCCTGAAATGAAATTTAAAATTCAAATAAGATTATGATTAACTGAAGCTATGATACGAAAGTGACATACTATACGTAAAGAATCAAAAATTTACAATTACTATTGAACCAAATATCGCAACCCCAATTACCCGATAACACCAATCATATTACAAAGAGAAAGATATATATATATATATATATATATATATATTTATATATATATTTATATATATATATTTATATATGGCAAAGGGGTAAGGATGCAGGCGGCCAATGTACAATTAACGACAGCACATTTTATACGTATGCAATGTGTTCACATAAAACCAATTTTTACATATAAACTCATAAGTTCATACCTCTCTCAGTTGCTCGATATCTTTTCTGACTAAATTCATAGCAGTTGCGACCATTTGTCTAGCTTCTGCAGAAAGTGCATTCATGGGCGGTTCCTTCATGTTGATTTGACCTCGGTTTTTCTTGGAATTGCGTCGACAAGCTTTGAGGTAAGCACGAATTCGGTTTCGATGACGTTTGGCTTCTAGTTGAGGCCAGGCTTTGGAGCAGATTCTTTCCAATGCACTGATCGCATTTCTAGGTTGCTCGCAGAATGTAATCGTTCGATCAAGTGTTTCGTCTACTACCTTTCTGACGAAATTCTGTGAATAGGATGTTGATTTAGATAGAAACGTGCTTAAAACAAGAATTAAAACTCTTAAAAAGTAAACATTAAACTTGCATTATATGCGCCAATAAGGAGCTCAGATCCTAAGCCATCGTTACGATCTTCTCCGTCTTCCAGGATGTAGGGGAATATTCCAGATGGTTTGATGCTACTAAAAAAATCTTTTTTTAATGATTCTCCACTTATGCGATGGTTTTGTGAAGGATAGTGATTGAAATCTGGTCTTCGTTTGGAGTCAACTGACTTCAAAAATGGGGAGTTGGGGTAGTGTGGGTAATGGGAAGCGGAGGAAAAGTCCCTGTTTAAACATGTGGTTGGAGGAATTTGCGATGAAAACGGCTTGTAGCCGGGCGTTGTTTGATAAGAGAGATCTTTGTCCTCATCAGAGCACGTTGAAGTACTTCCTTCATCGAGAGACTGTGGGGAAGCCGACGATTTTGATTTCTGAATTTAAACAATTTACATTTACAATAATTACCTACTTGTATTATTTAATTATCACACATAACTCACTTTGCAGTGGTTACTCGTGTTCTTGTGTTCATCAAAAGATTCCACAGAGTGGCGTTTTCGATTCGTATGAGTAGGTAGCCCATAACCGCAGAACTGTTCTCCGAAGAGGAAGCTAGAGGATTTTGAGCATTTCTTTGTTCCTCCGGAGTCATTTTTGTGAATTTGGTTGCGATAAGACTGGGATATCTAAAAGACAAATTTTAAGGTAAGACAATAGGTGAACATTTCAATTGAAGGGAATATATTCACTCTAACAAATATTTATTGTTTCAATTTCAACAAACGCGTGCTTACTTCATTATTACCCTCTTCGTTGTAAAGTTTATTTATCGAGGTTTGTTCTCCTTCATCCATTGCGCCTCGTCTCTCCGAACCACTGATAACTAAAATTTCAAATAATAGCAACATGTATGTTTAAAAAAGGTATTTGAAATCGTTGATTGCTTAAAGCTTCAAATTCAAGGCACAACATCGTAGGCTTCTTTTGTGAAATAATCAATTTATTGGAGAGAGAGTGCATGCCTGCACGCCAGGATTGGGAGGTGCGACCGTACA